TACAGTCATTATATAGGAATTTTAGCCTATTGCATGGTATCTACCAAAAACACTAATCACGATATTTCGACCTGAAATTTGGCCACAAGTAGGCCTACTTGTAACTAGAATGTTCTGCAAATTTCAGTTCAAAAGAATGTTCCCTTCATAAGATATTAAGTTTCCCAAAAACCTGACATTCTCCAATCTTTTCGTAGAACATGAATGATTTTGTAAATTCAATATCTCAAGAAGGGAACATTCTTTTGAACTGAAATGTGCAGAACATTCTAGTTGCAAGTAGGCCTACTTGTGGGTAAACTTTCAGGTCGAAATATCGTGGTTAGTGTTTTTGGTAGATGCCGTGCAATAGGCTAAAATTCCAGTATAATGGCTGTAACTCTGGAGGGAAGACCCATCCGTACATAGCCTTTTGAGGTTTTTTATACCTCACCGGGGTCTATCTAATACACATGCTCCGAACTTGAAAGCGGCTTGACAGTACAAACCGTTCCATTGTGAGTTACGAAGTAATTTAGCATCAAAAACTAACCCCACTTATACGTATCAATTACTAACGTATCCGGCTAGAAAATAAAAAAGTTATTATCTGTTTCAAAAAACAATATTAAATACAAACTAAATGACAACCGCAATTATGAGTAAAAGTATCAGAAAAGTTTCCAACAACCGAAGAAAATATCATCCGTTCCACTCTTGTTTATAGCATTTAAGGGGTCATCATAGTGGGAAATTCAAATTCGTTTTTTGCTTCCATGCATACATGAAGGAAGAAAGAAAGTAGAAGCATGGAAAAAAGAATTTCTGGTTGAAGATTAATAACGTTGAACTGGAAAAAATGAAACGGCAAATGACTCATTATCCATCAGTAGTGATGAGAACCCATATAAATCTGCACAGCGTGAGAACAGCACAGTACATCAATAACTGGTGCTATAACTTTTTCAGTGATGTATTTTATTTTGAAATAAAGTTATTCAAGTGATGAAACACTAAACATACTTGAAGATCTTCTGCACCTTTTTCAGACAAGAAATATTACTAGTCAATCACTTAGTCTGGATCAATAGTTCAAAGTGTCTTCTTTAAACTCAGAATTAGGCAATCTCTTAATTTTTCGTAGTTTAGACGTGACACCGAATAGTAGAGCAGAACCTGCTCTACACTGTTAAAAATTTGTGTTCTTCAAAAAACAAAAAAAATGATCTTCATTTGTCCCCTATGGAAATCATATATATGTTCTCCAAAGATGTACACAACAAGAATCTTCAGTTTTCTGAAGAACAAAATCTATGTTCTTTAGTTTTCTTAATCTTTATAGGAAACAACTTGTTCTTCAGAGAACAGGCTTTTCATCAACTTCTAAAAAACTGAAGGATAAGTTTTGTGTTCTCTGAAGAACAGCCGATGAAGATCACACTTTCTGAAGAACAAAACTGTTGTTCTTCAGATTTTTGATCTCTACAGCTAAATTTTGACACCTCGAAATAATAGCAAGCGCTATCATCGATCCAAAAGAAAAAAGAAGGATACCTTTCTTTTGGATCGACGATAGCGCTTGCTATTACTTTGAGGTGTCCAAATTTCGTTGAATGCGCTCAATCACAAACAAAGAACACGAACGTAATCAAAAATACGAATGAATAGAGAAAATGCATTGAACAAAGAGAAAAAACAAAAAGAGAATCATCGATCCAAAAGAAACAAGAAGAACATCTGTCTCTCAGCTGAAACTATTTAAACAATGTAAGAGTGTTATTGTTTACCAGTATTTTGTCACTCGCTCTTATCAACATCAAAAACCAGGTAAGTGAATAACGCAGCTGCTATTCTGCCCATAAAGGCTACAAATTCTATTGTCTATTAATTTTAGTATTAGTTCAAGTGATAAGTCATCCAAAGCGGTTGGTAGTGGTGTCCGAGATAGTGGTAATCAGAATAGTATTGATCGGGGTACTGGTGATCGACGTGGTGACAAAGCGGTTGAAATCGAAAAAGGTAAGCTATAGGTTTGACTTATGAATATTCAATATGGTGATGATATATTTTTTGTGTCGCTTCAGTAATATAAATTACAGATGCGCCTGAGTTACAGGAAACACCAGAAGAGGAAAAAACAAGTGGTATAGAGTAATAACATTTTCTCTTTCTGTCTGTCGTTATTTAAACTAAGCTTCAAATAACATTTCATTTCCCCATAATTCTTTGTTATGCTCAAGCGCAGCTACTGAGATCTCCGTTGGGGCGCCCCACGATGGATCTCCAACGCAATCTGTTAGTGGCGCCTTCACGGAGATCTCAGTAGCTGCGCTTGAGCATAACAAAGAATTATGGGGAAATGAAATGTTATTTGAAGCTTATTTAAATCTAAAATTTTCATCCAATGAATTTCAGTTCGAATTTTGAATATCCTATATGTTTTAGTGACACTAT